TTTTTTAACAAAAACCCGGCTAATAGTGGAATAGTTCTCCATTAGCAACAGGAAAATCATTAGTGATTCTATTTAAAGATGGACCTACTGTAAAAACAAATGATTGACCTCATTTCCCTTTCTGCTATTCTCCACTTCCCCACCTGACACCATATTCTCAGCATGAACTGCTGTGTTCACTGAAGAAATATTATTCTTAAATATTTGATTCATTGCTGCATCAATAGAGCCTCAAAGCGTGTCCAAGGGGTCAGTCAACAAATCTAGCCACATGGTCACTACAAAAAGCAAAGACACACAAAACACGCGTGCTCACACCCACCCGCAGACACATATTCACTGCACAAAAGCATGCACACAGAAAACACACACAATGCACAAGTCCAAACAAATAACACAAATGTGAGGAGGAGCAAAAAAAATCATATGATTAAACATCTTCTTTTCATGTAAAGTTAGTCTTTCACTTTTATTTTATTGGCTTCATAGAATCCGCCATTTTGAGATGATATGACCAACTGAATGCTACTCTCTTTATGTTGTTAACCCACCTGTTAGCGAAAACTTTCATTCACAGAATAAATTAATGTAGGACAGCAAATGGCGCATTTCTACAACAGCATCAGTCGTTAAAATATTAGCATGACATTTCATCCACACCACTAGGTGTCAGTATGAGTTCAAAAGGATGTTACAGAAGTGCTACAGAAAAAAAAATACTGAGTGCACCCAAGTAAGACAGGTTTTACTGGGTCTGGTTCCACTAAATGCTTGTGTATCAAAACTATACTTTGTAGAAATATGAAGGCTCACTGCTTTAATGTTTAGATAAGCAGAGATGTGTGCTCACCAGGCTTTCCGTGATCGCCTTTGATGAGCCTCGAGAGTGCAGGAGAAATGTGTGTGCATGTGGCAGAAAGAGAGAGAGTGATCAACACTAAAGAGAATTAGACCACAAGACAAGAACACTGAAAGCACATCTTCAACTCAGAGAGCATAGAATGATGAGCTAACAAGAAGGCATGGCTGGAATTTTTCAACATTTATTTAAAAAAAAAAAGTTTGTTATATTTCTTTTTTTTTTTCTTTTATCTTTTTTCTTTTGTTGATACCTGAGAGAATCCTTCAAAAGCTTTCCTTTCCAGTCTCATTTAAAACAGCTGTGGTATGGACATCATCCCCGCTCTCTGCTCACACTCTCATGGCTGGGTGCATTTTGCACATGAGCACTTCTACATATTCACAAACACAGTCTAATCAAATGAAGACACTCACATTCAACTTCAAAGGGAACAGCGAAAATGAGGACTTTGACATCACAGTGCTGAGGGCGGCCAATCAAACTTAAATGTTCAAAAATAGTGCGCTTCTTTTTTTCTTTCGTTCAGTTGGGATTTCGCATACGGTATTAAAGCTGAAATGTGTGATTTCTGCACCACTAGTGTCATTAAATGGAACGGCAGGTTTCCAAAACACTCCCCTCTTCTGCTATTGGCTAGATAAAACTGATAGCCCCGCCTCAAACTCACGCCATTGGTTGAGCTGTTGCCAGGCCGGTGAAATGTTACGATAGTGCCTCAGAGACACAGTGTTTACGCTTTTTGGTGAAATCAGCCTAGAAATGGCTTATTTATAGTAATCTCTGTGTATTAATCAAGTATTTTAGTAGTTGATTTTGCATTAAAAATGACACACTTCAGCTTTAAGACTGACTAACTTTGGTCTGAGATTCACTTCCACAGCTGAGAGGGGAGGGAATATCAACTCAAAAACATTTCAAGGTTGAATATTAATGATGTTTTGGTAAGTGTTTCTTAAAAATGTATTTTCATTTTGAATACATGGAATGCTGTTTTGTTTCTAACAGGTAGTACCAATCCACCGAACCATGAGAGCATTCGACGCAAACACATACATAGAAACACAAATGCAGTCTCTGGCCAGCGAATGACATCATCGGAGATCAGTGGAAAGTTGAACTAGCGCCCTCAAATTCGCAAGGTTTGACAAAGCAGGTCTCTGGCAGCAGTTAGGGCCATCCTTCCCTTGACTATGACACTGACCGATGAAAAGACAAACTGACTGAGGCTCATGCAGTTGCGGTGGGTGGGACTTTTGGAGGGGAAGTGTTCAGAAAGAGACATGTCCGCTAATCAGGGCTCAATGACACAGTCATCATGCTATCATAGGGTTTAGCATTGCATAGACATTCTTGCTTCTGGGCGTTTTTTTGTCTTTCTCTAAAGAAAAAAAAAAAAAAAAAAAATTTGGAAAAAAAAAAAAAAAAGGACGGGACACAAAACTACACAACCACCAAAGCGAAACAAAACCAGTATCTACTGTTCTCCTCTGAGGAAACTGATTGGCAGTAGCGAAGTCAGCTAAGTGCTTCTGGGTACCAGACCATACCCACCTAGGTCTCTACCAGCAATCTGACCTAGTGAACAAATGTACGTCTAGCTACCCTGTCAGAAAGAGCGGTTTGAGTGCGGGGCAGAGGGTTGCGGAGGCACAGGGTTGGATTGTTAATTTCATGGGGCACTTCTTCATATTTGTATTGAACATGCACGTTTGCGAGTGCACAAAAACACACATACAGATGTGTGAAGCATTTACAGAGCTACGTAAGCAGATTTACTTTACAAAAATGGAGGGATCATTCGGCGCACGGGCTGTGTTCTGGCCTCGATATCCAGTATGTGATGGTTGCATATGGTTAACACATAGAGATTTAATCTTTCAATATCTTTTCATTTTGTATTTACATCCTTGGTTATGGCCAAAAAACTTGTAAAAGTACAAAAAAGGAAAACGAAAACAAAACAAAAAAACACAAGTATTGCACCTTGAAGGCGGGCAATATACGCTTAGTAAGCTGTTTGTGTAACATCATTTTGACAGCACTGTCCACTCTTGCTGGTGACCTGAAGTGAGGTTCTAGTTCCCGGGCCCGGTTCCAGCCCAGTCCTGTCAGCTACATTCAATACCATATGAAGCACTCTTTGCTGTCACGGATGCACACGACTCCCTTTCCAGCCTTCCAGCCACATCGCATCCCGTCCGCTCCCATTACGGCTCGTCGCATCAGCACAGGCAACACCGTTCGCAAACGGAGGCTAATGCATGCAACTGGTGCAAATCTGAAACAGATGGGCTTTCGAGGCTGAAGGAGAGAGCCGTGTGCTTCCGCAATCACATGAATGGTCGCGCACATACACCCCATCGTACAGTTCAACACATGCACTGGACACACTTTGACATAAGTGCCACGCAGATAAGCACTCCTCCCAAGTTCATTTAAGCTTTGTGTTGTGTGAGGTATGAGTAGATTTATATATTTTTTTTTTAACAAAAACCCGGCTAATAGTGGAATAGTTCTCCATTAGCAACAGGAAAATCATTAGTGATTCTATTTAAAGATGGACCTACTGTAAAAACAAATGATTGACCTCATTTCCCTTTCTGCTATTCTCCACTTCCCCACCTGACACCATATTCTCAGCATGAACTGCTGTGTTCACTGAAGAAATATTATTCTTAAATATTTGATTCATTGCTGCATCAATAGAGCCTCAAAGCGTGTCCAAGGGGTCAGTCAACAAATCTAGCCACATGGTCACTACAAAAAGCAAAGACACACAAAACACGCGTGCTCACACCCACCCGCAGACACATATTCACTGCACAAAAGCATGCACACAGAAAACACACACAATGCACAAGTCCAAACAAATAACACAAATGTGAGGAGGAGCAAAAAAAATCATATGATTAAACATCTTCTTTTCATGTAAAGTTAGTCTTTCACTTTTATTTTATTGGCTTCATAGAATCCGCCATTTTGAGATGATATGACCAACTGAATGCTACTCTCTTTATGTTGTTAACCCACCTGTTAGCGAAAACTTTCATTCACAGAATAAATTAATGTAGGACAGCAAATGGCGCATTTCTACAACAGCATCAGTCGTTAAAATATTAGCATGACATTTCATCCACACCACTAGGTGTCAGTATGAGTTCAAAAGGATGTTACAGAAGTGCTACAGAAAAAAAAATACTGAGTGTAAAAGTACAAAAAAGGAAAACGAAAACAAAACAAAAAAACACAAGTATTGCACCTTGAAGGCGGGCAATATACGCTTAGTAAGCTGTTTGTGTAACATCATTTTGACAGCACTGTCCACTCTTGCTGGTGACCTGAAGTGAGGTTCTAGTTCCCGGGCCCGGTTCCAGCCCAGTCCTGTCAGCTACATTCAATACCATATGAAGCACTCTTTGCTGTCACGGATGCACACGACTCCCTTTCCAGCCTTCCAGCCACATCGCATCCCGTCCGCTCCCATTACGGCTCGTCGCATCAGCACAGGCAACACCGTTCGCAAACGGAGGCTAATGCATGCAACTGGTGCAAATCTGAAACAGATGGGCTTTCGAGGCTGAAGGAGAGAGCCGTGTGCTTCCGCAATCACATGAATGGTCGCGCACATACACCCCATCGTACAGTTCAACACATGCACTGGACACACTTTGACATAAGTGCCACGCAGATAAGCACTCCTCCCAAGTTCATTTAAGCTTTGTGTTGTGTGAGGTATGAGTAGATTGTGTTTCAGTTTTTTTCAGTTTCTGTTGCATTATTTCTGTTTTTTTTTTCTAAGTCTTCTTTCATAAAAAAGGAAAACAAAATATAAAAAAAGAAAATATTCCTGTTTCTTGTTGTAAATTCCTCTTGATAAAAAGTCGAAGGACATATACACAGACAAACAGAGCAGTTGACTAATCATTACAAACTATAGTGAGGTGAAAAAGAGGTGAAATTCTCTAGTTTACACTGCAAGCATGGTCAAAAAGTGACTACGGCTGTTGTTTTTCTCTCTTACATAGAGCAGTTAAGCATCAAAAACGAACACACAAATTTCAGTACAAAACAAAAAGAAAGAAACGAACAGCTCAAGCTCCAAAATTTGAACTTTTTGTTCTGGAGTCATTTTTTGGTTTTTGTTTTCTGGGTTTGTAATTCTTTTATTATATCATTTTTTTATTTTTCTATCTCTCTCAAACAAAATTAGAAGGTAAAGCAGCATCGAAACCCTTGCGTTCACTCAATCAGCCAATCGGAACCACTGCTGCGTTATTCCAATTTCAAGATGGAATTCCATGCCAGATGTTTACGGAATGCTGACAGTTCCTCTCGTTCTGATTGGCTGCGTTCCTTCGCAACCATATTATAGAGCAACTCCTCGTTCTGGCTCTTTCATTCTGCTGCTCCTTGTTCACATTCATTCGGTGCTGCCATTCTTTGCATGGCTTGGCCACTCCTTTGTCTCACAAAGGAAAGGCCCGTTTCTGTTGGGTGTTCGTCTCAAGCCACTTCTGGCTTCGAGGGGGCGGGGACACAGAGGTCTGTTTGTGAATGTGTGTTTGAATGTTTCGTCATTTGTTGAGCAAGGACATGACCGGGACTTTGCTTGACTTAATACTGACTCTGAGGGTGTGCTCAGGAGCACATGAAGGCGTGGCCTCTGTTTGACAGAGAGGTTGGGGGCGTGTCCTTGGAAAGCATGGACTGAGCTGGAGGATGGGACCCATCATGCCTTAGTGCAAAAACTCCTTAAAAGTGCCAGGGGTTGAATCGTCTCTGAAGATTTGGCTCTTTCAAAGCTAAGTGCTCTCATTCAACTGCTTCCCCGCGTCCCCTGCCCCACCCTGAAGAAACCAGCCGACCCCTCACTCCACTTTGCAAATTACTGCTTGGTATTGAAAAGGAAACAGCGATATACCCATTTGATTCAGGCCTGGTCACCTCTGGTCCTTCATCTGTAGTTCTCTCCATGGCTCCTCTTCGTAGTCAGCGGCATGTATGGTTTAGTTCACCGTCTGCTGAAAACTAGCTTCCGTTTTGACGGAAATCGAAGTGACACTTGGTCCCACACAAAAAGAAACAAAAAAAGCCCACCCAGAATTGTTTTTTCTCTCAGCCACCTCAGAGAAATCTGATAGGCTACGATGAGGAATGGCAGGCCCTCCTGTCTACAGTGGTATTTCAATGTAACTGAGAAGAAACTGTGTCTGCGAGTGTTTCTATCCTGGCTGTATGAGAATACGAGTGTGTGTAGGTGTGTGTAAATGTGTGTGTGTGGCTGAGGGTAGCTGCCCTGTGTCCAGAGGTGAGGTAGAACCTGTCAGCACAGAGGCAGTCTTGGAGCCACAGCCAGCCGAAGGTGTGCCCACATTTGAGGTAAAACAAAAACAACACAAAGAAAAAACATCAACAACAGCCAGTCCGCCATGGCCCGTCAGGAGTGTGCGCGTGTGTTCGCACAGACCGGGCAACAGTAGCATCTGAGCGGAACACAGATGGGCTGGACTGAACTCTCAAAGCCCTGTATGGGAGTCCAGAACTACAGCACTGCAGTGCATACAGTAAAAATGAGGCATTCGAGTTTTGAGGTGTGTGTTTTAGTATGTTTGTGTGTGTGTGTGTGCTGGGTCTGGGAGTACGGTAATACTGGCTCCCTCCTGACACCTGTAAAACACACAAATCAGTGCAGATTGGAGGTGTAGGGGTGCCTGGATTTCCATCTCTCTGCATGACTTTCCAGGGACAAAGAGGGGCTCAAAGAGCCCACAAATAAGCCCAGACAATGGCAAGAATGAACCGCACACAAAGTCGCTGAGCGGCACCCCTGAATGTGCACTAAAATGGCGACCGAGAGCTTTCAACGGTCCGTGTCCTACAGAGAAGGGAGGGGGGTATGTTCTTGAAAAGTCCCAAATCATTTTGAGTAGCTTTATTTAAATATAGCACCTGATTTGGTTCAAAAAAATTCCTCCCGCTCCACACACAGGCTCAATTTCGAAGAGAATCATGTGGTCTGTTAAAGAAGATCCATGTTAGCGCGGCGCTTGAGATACCGACGGTCAATCTCACGAGAACGCTGAGATTTCAATCAACGAAATGAACTGACCACTTCACGACCTGGCGGAGGAATCTATATGCCAGCTGCCATCCAGTCTTAGCAGAGGGCACCTCCAGTGGTGGCATGACAGTAGTGCAGTCTGTACGTGTACAAATGCATATAAGCTCATCAGAGGATTTGAGTTGCATGAGTACAGCATCTGTAAGCACACTTACAGGAGTGTGTGTGTGTGTGTAGATGTATATTCTGTGTCTAAGGTGTTGGTAAACCAGTATAAGACATCATGCCGAGACAGAAGGGCCACGCGTGGGGAATTTAGTGGATGAGGGAGGGCTGATTTTTCTGCGAAAAGCAAAAAATAAAAAATAAACTCCCCATATGAAAGCCTTTCTGAGGATGACCCCTGCCATTTCAGCTGCTGCTGGTGAGTTTGGTGCGTGGAGGGGGGTGAGACGGGTAGAGAAACACGGGTTACAAAACGTTGTTGATTCTCCTGCCGCAGCTCACTGGGACGTCACACGTCCTGATCCTCGAAGACCTCCAGGAAAAGTGGGGGGAAGAGTTCAGTGGGGCATTCCACCTTCATGTGCAGGAAGCGGCTGGCATGGCAGGCTCCGATCATGCGCAGGTCCGTCACCTTCATCAGCAGCTTGGGCCAGAAATGGGGAATGTTGTGCTTGCGATAGTTGATGTAGTGTTCGAACGCTAGGAGGAACATCTCCTGGCACTTCTCGATCTTCTCCACACATGTCAAGCCTGTGCGATCTGAAGAGACGAACCACAGAAGATGCAAGGACAATACTTATTATGACCATTACAGGATTGTAGCAAAATACTTCATTTCAAAAACCATCTACTTAGGTTTCACACTGAATGAAGGTGAAATACCTCTCAGCAACTACAATATTTGTCAAACACCATGTTCGAAAACCAGTATGCTGCCTTAATAATCAACATTCCTGGGCATCAAATGAAGTATTTCCACTTCATTTTCTACAGTGTTTGAAAAAAGCAATAGCAAAGAACATCAACCAGGTCAAAATCATCAACATCAAAATCAACCAGGTCTGAGATGAATCACATTATAAACTATGATTTGAAGCAAAAAGTATCTGAAAATCAGCAAAAATAAATAGATCCAAGACTTTAACGAAGCAATGTACTATTAGGGTGGACATCTGTCAGGTTTTAGGTTGTATAGTCTGGTTTTGAAATACCATTCCACCTACAGTACTTGCACAGCCTTGAATTTTATTGTACTCCTTATCACTATTTTATACTTTATGCAATGGTATAAAATTAATAAATGAATGTATTTAAAAATAGGCTATGTTTAAGCTAATAGTAAGTGACATACATGTGACGTATTGTCATTATCGGCTATTCTTTTGCTTTTGCTCTGTTTCCCCAATGAAAATAGTCCCAATCTTGACCTTATGGAGAATATGATTGTTTTTTGTTTTGTTTTTTTTACTTCCAGATCCCAACTGTTGTGCTATATTGGGGTTTATTGGATCTTCTTGCATGCGTTATCTGAGAAGTGCTGCTTATGTCATGCGGTTATTGTTAACGGAGTTGCTACCTATATATACATTCTATTTCAAGTTAGCATGCTACCACAGAAGGCAGCTGCCTATGTAGACAGCAGACAGTGAGGCAGCCCACTAGCTTTAGGAACAGAACCTAACAGACCCTACAGCTGTTTCTTGCTGCTAATCCAGTTTTGAGAGTTCTCTTAAAAGGCTGATTTTGGTTTATGAGCAGAATTACTGTAAAGTGTCCTCTCTCACCTGAGCTCATAAGCAGTACGGCCTGCAGCAGGGCCACCTCTGTGTCATCCAGGTTGAACTGCGCTAGACTCTTGCCTAAGTCAAAGATGGCATCAGACACAACGCCCAGCCCTCCATTCTTTAGCTGCTCTCGTTTGACAGCCATCTCTCCGCTCAGGGTCAAGGTCTCGCTTTCCGGGTCATACCGAACTGCAGCACGTAGGGACATAATCTCCATACAGCAACCCTTCAGCAAGATGATCTGATCCTCACAAGGCAGCTACAGAAATTAGAAATCACACAATAATACATATTTATTTCACCTAATGGCATAATATCTGCTGTGGCATCATACTGAGACCTTGAAAAATCCTCCTTGAATACATTTCAAATATTGTTATGGTTGTAAATTGTTTCAAATATTAAAATTAAAAAAAAAAAAATTCCCAGTTTGAATGAATACTGATCCTTTTTTATGAGTAAAAAAACCCCAAAATTATATATGCCACTATGGATTTCAGTATTGACACTCAGAATAAAATTAATAGTAAATTATTAAAAAAGAATTAAACAATATAACAACTTGACAACAACAAATGATGGTGTATTTTAATAGTGGGTGAAATGTCACAATTATTAAGCTTCAAATTAAATTAAAATAAATGAATTAAATATATTTTAAATTATATAAATATATATAAAATATATATTTATATTATTTTAATAAAAACATAATAAGGACTGATGTGTGCATATAATCTTGCTAAGTTTAAGCTTTTTTTATTGCTGACTACTCTTTAATATTCACACAGCACAGAATGAAGTAGTTATAATGTCAAATTGAATAAATGCACTTTTAAAAAATTACAGTGTTAAAAAAATTACTTAATGTGTTAACATTGACAGCCTTAATCATATACTGGCAAAGAATCCAAGATGACCCAAACACAAAGGAACTGGGGAGAGAAAAAATTGGAGGTAAAATGGCATCAGACTGAAGAAATATTTACCCTGATGTATGAAACGTTTCACATCATTTACAATAGCAACAAGAAGCCAAGTATTGTTCAGTATAAATTTTTGTATTACAGTCGGTCTAGGTGCGTATTACAAAATGTGGAAAATACAGGAGGCATAGCGCTCAACTTAAAAAAGAGCCCGAGAGGTTGTGGATACGTGTGGATGACAGGGTAATTTATGGTGTAGACAATAATAAATCCGTTGCCATAAGGGTGCTGTGTAGTCTACTATGCAAGAATGTTCACACTTGTGGTTAAAGGAGAGTTGGTGAATGCTTAATATGGAGAGAATGCCACAATAGCTATGACTGATGTAATGTGGCAATATTACACACACATACATTCAACAAAGCCACAACTGTACAATACATCCTAACAAGATAGATAGCACATACATACAAACTCACCCCCACGGACATATTCCTGAAATATGTGTTAAGTGTTTTCAGCTGAATAATTTAGCAACTATTAAAAAATAACAACAATTTGAGCAGTACAGTAGCATATTTTCAGCTAATTAGGCAGACGGACACTAACGTACTCTAATTTCAAGGCTTAATTTGACAAGCTAATTACTACTGAACACAAACACTTCAAACAGGGTGTAAAAATAAATAAATAAAAAATAAATAACAAAAACAAAACCTAATCGCACACTCACCTCTGAAAACATGGACAGTTTTTTGGCAAAGTCAACAACACGTGTGATGGCTGGGGTGATGATCTTGGTAAACTCGCTGAAGGCCTCCAAATCTACTTTGTCCCCGTCTGATGTGGGGGCCACCGGAGACTGTCCGATGTCCTCAGGCTGCAGACACAGACAGATTCACTGGCGGTTAACTATGACTTTCACTTTTGGCTTTTGTAACAAGCAACAATATATTTCCATTGAAGAATATATGAATGGATGTACAAATACACCGAACGGGATGCATGTGTGGGGTCTGGGTTTGCAGTTATGTAGGCTGATAGCCTTGGAAAACCACAGCGTTTAATATCCTCAAGGTGGATTAGAGGTCAGCCATGTAAAAACTCTGGACAAACAGCCAAGTAGCCCTGACATCTGGAGCAACATTCTATGTATGCAGTAAAGAGGCATGTAACATGAGTCAGAATAGAGGTAATTATAAGTACTCAAGAGGCAGAGCTGCAATTACAGCATTACATGTTGGCAACTGCATATATATTTTTTGAATGCAAGACATGGCTATGAATCGTGGACTGCATATTTGCAGTGTGTTTCTGCTGCAATCAACACCTCTGAAATAAGAATAACAAGTGAAGACATTTACATTCTCAGGAATTAAATAAGTGGAAGAAAATGTGATTAACAGCAATGAAAGAAGTGCTGAGATTATCAAATTAAATGTGACAAAATATATATATATATAATCAGAGCAAAAACCAAGCACTGAGGTCAAAAGAACTGCCTGTAGAGTTTAGAAACAGTTTTGTGTCAAGCCACACATCTGTGGAAGAAAAAATTCTGCTTCATTGAAGGGTCACAGAAGCATGTAGTCTCTGTTTCCCTTAATGGAAGACGTTTGAAACAACCAGGACTCTTCCTAGAGCTGGCCTCCTGGCCAAACGGAGCAATTGATGGAGAAGGGCTTTGGTTAGAGTGGTGAACAAGAAGCTGATGGTCACTCTACTTGAGCTCCATGATCATATATGCAGATGGGAGAAATCTAGAGAAGGACAAATATCACTGCAACACTCCACCGATCTGGGCTTTATGTCGGAGTGGCCAGACTCAATC